AAGTGTTGATGTATACTTAATTGCCACTGTATATTCTTTTATATTATCTTTTTTGTTGTTAGTTTAGATCTAAAAGGTTTTTAAACATACCTTGATATTCTGAGTAATTCATTAGATAAGTACTCAAGTGTTACAGTGATTTACAGACTACCTGCTGTGTTCCAGACACTGTGTTGGACTTTCAATGTATATAATTGTATTAAACTCCCTTACCCAGAAAATCTGAAATAGATATAATTCTCCCAGATTGAGGAAGCAGAGTGATGTTGGTTCAAACTCAGGGCTCTGGTTTCCCCATGTGGGCTTAATTTATTCCCTTTTTCAATTTTATTTGATATTTGGGACAAATAAAGGTAGACTCTCCCCTTGCTTCCCACTGATGTCTGCACTTAAGTAAACATAATATTGTGTTAGTATACTGTGCCCATAATAAAATTTCTATAACTGAGATAATAAATTCCATGGTCAGAAGTGTACTAAGCAGAGGTGGAGGTTATGGAGGGATAGGAATGAACAATTCTAACAGTACTGATCAAAATTACATAAAACATGACAGAAAACATTTTATGTATATGTCACAGGCTTGGGACAAAGAATGTAAAGATACTGGGTTTAAGTTATAGAGTGAAGCAGCTTTAGTATTCCATGCCAGCAAAGGAGTAACACAGCTTTCAAATGGCACCAGATTCATGATAGTGCCAATATCATACAGCTAATTTTAAAAAATTTTTCTAAAGAAACAACCAAACTCAAAAGCAGAAGTAACTATGTATTTCATGTTTGCCACACTGCAGAGTTTTTTTTTCAAGAAAAATGCATATATATTCTTAAATATATGTTCACAAATAAATATCTTCTTGTAGCATACAGTAAATGCTGTTATAGTTAACCATGAAAGATAAGGGAATACAATAGAAGAACAGAAGACTTATACTAAACTGATGTTGATGAGAGGAATTTAAATATAAGATCCTAAAATATGGGTGAAGGATTGAGGTAGAATGGTGCAGAAGTAAAAGTGCTTTGACTATAGAGTCAGTGAGACTCAATATTTGGACAAGTTCATATTCTTGTTCAAGCTTCGTATTCTTTGTCTAGAAGATGGGATGAATGCCAGTGTCTACCCAAGTGGGCTACTGTGAGAATTAAATGAGAAAATGAATTCATGTCTAGCTCTTAGTAAGAAATCCATCAAAGCCTGTAACTGGTAGTGGTGGTGTTCATGGTAATGTTTTGATCATGGTACTACTACCTCCAGAAACATGAAGATTATATGTTTTCAAAGAAGTCTGCATGTCTGGAAGCATCATAAAGTAGATTTCCATATCTGTGGAGTTTTAACTCCATTTTATTTGAAACCAGCCACTTTAGCCCAGACTGAGATTTGAGGATAACAGTCATTTGGGTTGGCTATAGGGTTTCATCAGCATGCATTTCCACTGTAAGAAATAGTGAATTTACTTTAAAATTATATCATGTGTTCTGATTCCATTTTGGTAAGCAGAGAAATCTATAAATGCTTCCCTGCTTAGAGAACTGATTTGTTTCTGTTGAATTCTGAGTGTCAGATTATAAACAACTTCAGTCAATATCTACTGATCCCTTAAAATGGAATCAATAAAATTGCCTGTAACAAGCACATACTACTAGGAATCAAAATAATCTTTCCCCCAAATAAAATCATGTTTACTATGTTACATGATTCCTGGAACATGTTTTAAAGTAAGGGAATTAGGAAGCAGGGACAATTATTTTTGGATTCTGTTATGCTTAGTCATTAAAACAAAACAAAAAACAAAGCACTCAGTTTTGCAGAATGAGCAAGTAGATTTACATTTTCTTTTTTTAATAGGCCTCTTGGCATTCTATATCAGAGTAGTTCAGAAATTCAGTTAATTTGATTTCAGTACTCAAAATTCTCATTCTTTTCAGAATTTAGCTGAACTCTTTTTTTAAACAAAATGGTTTTAAGTGAATGTGTTACAAGAAATATTTTGTAATAGGAATATTTCTGAATCTTGTGTAAGAAATTAGCTTCAACTTCACCAATAATATCTTTCCCTGTGATTATATTCCTGTATGAATCCAAACTAAATATCACATTGAGAGGAGAAACACATTAAGGACTTTCATCATTACATCAAGCCACAGTGGTATGATGGAGAAAACTCATAGTTAGAATTGTGACTTAACTACTCAGAGCAAGGTTATTAACATTTTTGGGTCTCCTGCACCCCATCTGTAAAGTCCTACTTACTTCAAAGGCCATTTATTGTGAGGCTTAAATGAGATAATCCCCCCCCGTTAAATGCCAGCAAGGACTAAATGACACTTCTTATCTCTTTGGTATTTTTATTGAAAATCCTGCCAGCAAATTGAGGTTTCTTCTGTTTTATCCTGTCTATAGTAAGTAGTAGTTGGCATTGAAGGGTATAGAGAAGAAATCTATATCTGTACTACAGCTATTACAATAGCAAAGTTCTATACTACCACAACAAAATCCTACTAAATTAGAATAATTAGGGCTATTTGTTTTTGGCTGTTAATTCTTGGAGTTTAGAATGTTTTATGAGAATTGGAATTTAAAGTGTTAGAAAGTATAGTAGTGCATAGAAACTGTAGAAGATGTCATGTACTACTTTCTGCTTTAATGAATGTTTAGCTTTGATTACTGATTATTGTATGTTAATATAATTCACAAATTATTTTGGAATAGAGCTGTTTCCTTACCTCCTTATCATTTTTCCCTTCAATATCTCACTACAGCTATTTAAAAAAAGATCTTAATTCCAGCTGATTCCAACTAATGAATTACTAGAATTGAGTTAAAGAAATTTTAATTATTATTTGTTTTATAATTTGAAATCATTGTTTCAAAATGAAAGTTGTATTTTAGCTATGATTATTTTTTTAGCCAGGGACCCAATTATTTTCTCTTTTCTTCCTTGCCAGAATATGTTAGTGTCCTGGGACCATCTATAACAAATGTCTAGAACATGTCTCTTTTTCTATTTTTCTTTCCTTTTCACTTTCATGTTCACTTTTTCTTTTCATCTTTAAATGGTGTATTTACTTCTGATCTTTTTAAATTTTTTTTATTGGTTGTTCAAAACATTACAAAGCTCTTGACATATCATATTTCATACATTAGATTCAAGTGGGTTATGAAATCCCATTTTTACCCCAAATACAGATTGTAGAATCACATCGGTTACACATCCACATTTTTACATAATGCCATATTAGTAACTGTTGTATTCTGCTACCTTTCCTATCCTCTACTATCCCCCCTCCCCTCCCCTCCCATCTTCTCTCTCTACCCCATCTACTGTAATTCATTTCTCTCCTTGTTTTTTTTTCCCATTCCCCTCACAACCTCTTATATGTAATTTTGTATAACCATGAGGGTCTCCTTCCATTTCCATGCAATTTCCCTTTTCTCTCCCTTTTCCTCCCACCTCATGTCTCTGTTTAATGTTAATCTTTTCCTCCTGCTCTTCCTCCCTGCTCTGTTCGTAGTTGCTCTTATTATATCAAAGAAGACATTTGGCATTTGTTTTTTAGGGATTGGCTAGCTTCACTTAGCATAATCTGCTCTAATGCCATCCATTTCCCTGCAAATTCCATGATTTTGTCATTTTTTAGTGCAGAGTAATACTCCATTGTGTATAAATGCCACATTTTTTTTTATCCATTCATCTATTGAAGGGCATCTGGGTTGGTTCCACAGTCTAGCTATTGTGAATTGTGCTGCTATGAACATCGATGTGGCAGTATCCTTGTAGTACGCTCTTTTAAGGTCTTCAGGGAATAGTCCAAGAAGGGCAATAGCTGGGTCAAATGGTGGTTCCATTCCCAGCTTTCCCAGGAATCTCCATACTGCTTTCCAAATTGGCAGCATGCAATGGAGGAAGGATAGCATCTTCAACAAATGGTGCTGGGAAAACTGGAAATCCATATGCAACAAAATGAAACTGAATCCCCTTCTCTCGCCATGCACAAAAGTTAACTCAAAATGGATCAAGGAGCTTGATATCAAATCAGAGACTCTGCGTCTGATAGAAGACAAAGTTGGCTCCGATCTACGTATTGTGGGGTTGGGCTCCAAATTCCTTAATAGGACACCCATAGCACAAGAGTTAATAACAAGAATCAACAAATGGGACTTACTTAAACTAAAAAGTTTTTCTCAGCAAGAGAAACAATAAGAGAGGTAAATAGGGAGCCTACATCATGGGAACAAATATTTACTCCTCACACTTGAGATAGAGCCCTAATATCCAGAGTATACAAAGAACTCAAAAAATTAAACAATAAGATAACAAATAACCCAATCAACAAATGGGCCAAGGACCTGAACGGACACTTCTCAGAGGAGGACATACAATCAATCAACAAGTACATGAAAAAATGCTCACCATCTCTAGCAGTCAGAGAAATGCTAATCAAAACCACCCTAAGATACCATCTCACTCCAGTAAGATTGGCAGCCATTATGAAGTCAAACAACAACAAGTGCTGGCGAGGATGTGGGGAAAAGGGTACTCTTGTACATTGCTGGTGGGACTGCAAATTGGTGCGGCCAATTTGGAAAGCAGTACTTCTGATCTGATCTTCTTAAACAGTGATCTTGTGAAGACAGTAGTATCTATAGAGACAGAAAAATAAATTAACAGGGATCTAAGAATTTCTCCCTTTTAAGTTTTTTTTGAGCCTGAAATAATTTCAACATTTCTCTGAATTAGGAAATTTCTAAATGTTGTTATTTATATTAATATTTTTAAAGGAACAATTAGATCACTTAAGGAATTTTCCTCTGGCTAATTAATGTGTAAGGACTAGAATTCAGGATGTAAAAAATTGGAATAATTGATAAAAAGCTGTGGTCTTTACTCTTTAAGCATATTCTGGCCAGTTTTAAATTATATAAAGACATAAAATTTTTCAGCAATTCTTTAGTTTCTAATTTATTTTTAATTATTGTTTCATTTTTCTTTCAGAACTCTTGATGTTTCAGTGAGCTTTAATGGAGGAAAATCTATCATTTCAAGCACACTAATAGTCACAGCCACAGAATGTGTAAGTAAAAAGCTATTTTTTTTAAAATACTCTTATCCAGAAATAATTTATGGAGCCTGAGCATTGTTGCACACTACAAGAAAGAAGGCACAGACAAGAACATTGGAAGACCATGAAATTGACATAAAATTTATTTTAGGTTGTTTAAAATTTCTGTTTGATTCCCTTTTAAGGGAATTTTAAGACAGTATACATTTGATTTTGATATTTATAAAATTCAAAAGTCATTTAAAATTAAGATAAGAGAATAAAAAATGAAGAATTTTTTTCTTACAATATTAAAAGGGAATTGACAGTTTTTCTGTTTGAGGTTAGAATTTAGTAGGTGTTTATATATTTTAAAATCCTTAGTGTACTTAATGGGTGACTTTATTATTATTATTATTATTTTAGTTGTCAATGGACCTTTATTTAATTTATTTATTTATAAGTGGTGCTGAGAATCAAACCCAATACCTCACATATAGCAGGCAAGCACTCTACCACTGAGCCACAATCCCAGCCTGACTTCATTATTTTATCCATCTTAAAAGTTAGTGTTTTCTAATATGGTAGCTTGATAATATCTTAGTTTGAAATTATCATTGAGATTATGAATTTATGTTGAAATGCAAACATAATAGTTAATTTTGTGCATTTATAGAAAGATTTGATATTATATTGTTGAACATGAAAATAGGAAGCTCTAAATTAGACTGACTCCCTGGCTATTATTTTTACTTTGTAAAAAATATAAATCAAATCCAAGGTCTAAATGTTCTGATATGTAGATGCTAACCCACAGCAAAGGAGGGTGGGGAGGGGAAGAATAGAAGCTAATTGGATTATACAAAGGGGAGTGAAGGGAAAGGAGGGGGGATGGGAATAGGAAAAACAGTACAATGAATAGGTCATAACTCTCCTTTATTCATATATGAATACATGACCAGTGTAACTCCACATTATATACAACCACAAGAATGGGATCCTAATTGGAATGGGTTATACTCCATGTATATATAATATGTCAAAATATACTCTACTGTTATGTACATCTCATATTTTTATATAGTAATTCAGGAGATATCCTTCCTCAGGAACACAGTAAAACAATTGAATGCTATCTGTGTAGAGGTGGTTGTGCTTCTCATTGTACAACAGCATTTCAGGAAAAAAATATCATGTAGTTGGAAACTTGGGCCACTTTGGAACTCCCTGGATGTCTTTGTTGACATTTTTTTTTCTGTTTTGAAAATATTAGATTTGTTTAAAGTTGTTTCCCCCCTTCATCTGTAATGTGTTTTGCAATTTGTAAGTTTTGTGGATGTTGCAATTTTTAGGTTTTCTGGCTTCTCAGGATGTGGTTGGTTGAGGTTACAAATATTTGTACTGTGTAGTTTCTCAGTGCTTAGCTTCAGAAATGGCATTCTTTCTCCATCCATCTTCTTATTCTTCACCTCCAGCTATTTTAGGGAAATGGGTTTATGCTCCTGCTTTATAACCGGGTACTAGTTCCATGTGCAGGGATGCTGAGGCTGAATGACTCATTGAAATTTATTGGTTGATAATAAGAAAGGTGTATCCAGGTCTTGCTAGGTCTCAGGAGGGTATTATGACATGAGGTAGTTTTTGTTTCAGAAGAAGGAAGCTTGGTTGTGTCAGAGATAGGGAGAAGGTGAAGGGGCAAGTTGCCATATTAAATAGGGGTCAAGGTGATTCTCACTGAGAAGGTAAGATTTGAGCCAAGACTTGAGGAAGGAAAGGAAGTGAGCCCCAAAGACTATCTGATGGACAAGTGTTCCACAGACAGAGCACCTAGAACCAGGTCTCACGTGGGACAATATCTGGAAGTTTAAAAAATAGCTAGGCAATCAGTGTGGTGGAGTGGAGGTGATAGGAAGAGAGTAAGAATCTCCGGATGAGGAGAGAGAGATGGGAGGGTGCAGAGCAGGTGGGAGAATGAGTCATTATAAGGAGTTGAACTTTCTCCAGGGGAACAGGGAGGCATAATTTAATAGGATTTGAATTAACACTTTAAAAAGATCACTCTGGCTGCTGTGTGAAAATGGGCTTTACTGGTGGGGACAAAATGGAAACATTGAGCTCAACTCTGTGGCTGTTTTAGTAATCCAGGAGCTGGGAAGAGAGGTAGATGGCCCCATTGGAATGAAAACAGTGGAAGTGGGGAGAAGTAGTTGAATTTGGGATTTCTTTTTTTTTTTTTTTGTGGTGCCAGAGATCGAACCCAGGGCCTTGTGCATGTGAGGCAAGCACTTTACCAACTGAACAATATCCCCAGCTCCAAACTTGAATGTATTTTAAAGGTAGATCTCTCGGAATGCCTAGACAGGTTAGAAGTGGGGTGTGAAAACAAAAAAAGACATTAAGAATAACTGCTTGCAGCCAGAAGGATGCATTGCCATCAGATAGAGGCAGTTTCTGGAAGATGAGGAGTTCCATTTTGGTACTGTTGAGTGACAGGTATGTATGAGATAGCTAAGTGTATATGTGAGAGAGGCCCCTGAATACATAAGTCACATGCTTTAGAGAAGGGTCTGGATTGGTGGTATGATCTTGGGAGTTATAGACAGTGGGTGGAATGAAATAGGCAACAACATTCCACATGATATTTATTGGGGGAAACAAGTGGCTTTCAGGAGGTTAGAGCAGGAGAAGGAAGAGTACCAGAGAAAGATTTTGTTTTTTTTGGAGGAAGCAAGACAAACTGGTTCATAAAGGGACAGGATGTAGGTAAGAAGAGAGGTCAGGAAGCACGTTACAGAGAAAGAATAAACAGGGTATGTGTGGAAGAATTGAGAACAGAAATATTTAGTTAGAGTGGAAATAAGTGGAAGGAAAAATTGGAAATGGGAAATTTTGACTAGATCATCAGTAACTTAAAACACCACACAGAGTTTGGATGGACTCCTACAGGCCTATAGTACCCAGAATCTACTGTACAGAAATGTCAATGCTGAAATTAAAAAAAAAAAAAAGATTTTTTTTTTCATAAAGCTGGATTTACTCAATGTGAAGGAATTCTTTATTCTGTAAATTTTCTTCCTCTAATTTAAAAATATCCTTTGATTCAGGTAACAACCATAGTAATTTGTCAGCATTGACTTCTCTTTCTTCTTTCCTTCCCTTTATCCTTTTTCCTTCCCTCTCTTTCTTCATTCTATCTTCTCCTTCTTTTCCTCATATTCCTCTTCCTCCTGTATATTTGGCAGAATGCTGAGCCAGTAAGACTGTATGAGAAGCTCCATTAATTTTTTTTTAGGTTTACTGTCTTGAAAAAATCATAAAATTTGACCTCAGTAGATAACAGTGTCTTTTTAAAAGGTTTCAGACATGAATGTGATGGCAGCATTCTATTTTGGGAAGATTCCATTAGTAGTGGCCTGCAAGAAAGTTAGAATGGAAAGAAAACAAAAAGCTTTTAGGAGACAAGTGCTGGAATTTAGGCATAAAACTTTGGGTTCTGAGTTTACTTACGGTGGTAGAAACAGTACTAGAAACAATAATAGAAGTTGTATTAATGAAGAAATACATATTATAAAGTGTCTTACGGGTTTGGAATGGAATGACTCATTTCAAAATATTGAATCTCATGGTGTAAAAGAATAATACTACCTTTGGAAACATCTAAAACCAGCTGATCTTGAGATGAAGAGAATTTTTATTGTAGGTAATGCTTAGAAAGGATGGCAATGTCCAATGGGTAATTGTAGATATAACCTCAAGTTTCTGAGAAGCATCAGGACTGGAGATCAGCATTTAGGTTTCACTGTTGTTGAGGATAGAAAAAGGAAGAAAGATGGGAGAATTAGAGTTAATGGAATTTTGAAATAGGAGGAATATGTACAAACACAAATTGTACTGGACAAAAGGAAGCAAACAAGGAAGATATTGTTCAAGACTACTGGAGGAGGGAAGAGAGATTAAATGGAACTCTGTTGAAGCCAACGGCTGGAGAATTTTTAAGAGCTCTAGTGGGGGAAATTGTGGGCTACCTCTGGGTTAATTTGTCTTACTTAAAGAAAAAATAAAAAATAAGTTTTCTCCTGCCTTCCTGGCAGGAGGTAGTGCTGAAATGTAGAGCAAGGTGCCTACTGATGTTATAGATTCCTACCTTCTTCCTCTTCTGAGGTGGTATCTTCCTTGATGACTTTTCAAAAGAATGGCTTCCAGGTCCCAAAAAAGACATCCCTCCAGGATCTAAAACTGGCAAGAGGCTTTTTTTTTTTTTTGGTACTGGGAATTTAAGTTAGGGCACTTTACCACTGAGCTCCATTCCACAGCTTCTTTTACTTTTTTATTTTGAGGCAGGGTTTCACTAAGTTGCTGAGTCCACTCTATGTTGCTGAGGCTGACCTTGAACTTGAAATTCTCCTATCTCAGCTTCCTGAGTCACTGGGATTATAGGTGTGCACCAGTGTGCCCAGCTTTCCAGAGGCTCTTAAGGAGATCCATAAGCATTTCAAACTTGCAAATACAAATTTTCTAAAATAAGATTCTTTCAGAAAAGGGAGATCCCAGGCCCACAGTCAGGAACAAATCTGATCAGATTAAACTTTAAAGATTAATCAGGCTGAGGTGACAGGTAGGTTCATCTTGGTTGGTAGAATAAATGAAGAAGTGACAGAGAAGGTACAATGCAGGACATCAAGATACGGCAAAATCAGAACGTGTATCAAATAGAGAAGAAGAAGGAAGGTAGAATCCCAACATAAAGAGAAGCCAGCAGTAGGTGCCTGTGTAAGGTCACCAAGACCAGGACTGAGAAGAAGTCTGAGGGGTCACCAGAGACCTCTCTCCAGCTTCGCCTGAGGACCTAAAGCCTGCCTTTTTTTTTTGGTGATTTTTATAAGTATACTAATGATTTCAGATAATAAATATTGTAATTCACTTCATCATATTAGTGATAGTTATAGAACATTTTTTTTCCTCCTTAGATTTAACCATATTTTGTATTCAGCCTCAAATACCTCTGGTATGTGGCAGTAATATTACCATTTTAT